TGCCCTTACATTAATCCAAATTAGTTTAACATATGAAATGTCTGTAAAATATCATCTCATGATTAACTTTAGAGCATCTTTCAAATATAAATATAATATTACAAAACCAAAAAGGAAAAAAGAAAAAAAGATCACGATGTTACACTACCGCCATCTATCCTTCACCCTCCACCTCCTTCTTCCCGTGCCCACCTCCCATCTCCTTCTTCCTTGTCCGTGAAAATCCCAATAACCCTGCCCCCATCTCCTTGACCGGCCACTCATATTTTTTTGTTTCTTAATATAAAATTTTAGAATTAATTCAAATAATATGGAATTATTTTTTTTTGTTTTCTTTACACGTGGTGCTGACATGGCATGCACATAAGCAAAGCATTGGGCCCCCACATGCCACATTTGCATTTTTAACAAAAAAAGGTTCTTTTTTTTTTTAGGAATCTTTGACGTGGAAAATTCTATTGATAAATGAAAAAGGAATTTACACCTAATCAGGAGAACATAAACTCTACCCTTGATAATACCAAAAAAAAAAAAAAAAAAAAAGGAGAAAAAGAACATGAATAAGAAGGGGGTCATAAACCTAAACTCTATATAAATGAACCAAAAAAAGAAAATTGAACGAAAAAAATTAACAGACTAAACGACATAGGATAGTGTGGGACACAAAACATGCTTTAGACCATCGACAACTGATTCAACTCTTGGTCACATTCAACCATCAAGAAGGGCAAATTGGGACAATTTTCAAAGGGCAAAGTGAGATTTAAAAACACTTTCAAGAGGTAACTGAGTAATTAAGCCTTTTATAATAAATAGGAAAACTAATGAAAATGGCTTGAAAACTTTGAGTTTTAACGATAAGGATAAAATCAATGGTAAAATGAATAGTACCAGAATTGACTTTTTAGTGTAAAAATGTGGTTTTTCATTAAAGTGAATTGTACTCACGGATTTTTCGTTAAAACTCCCTCAATAAATTAGGTTTGTGGATCCTCTTTATTGGTCTTGTAGTGTCTCATGTTTCCTTGTTATTGCAATTATGTAGAATTAAAAAAAGTATATATATATATATATATTATGTGTTTTTAACTTTTTAGGTTTACATACTTACACTTTTTCTTCTTGAACAAACAATAGTATTTACACTAAAAGGGAGTGGGATACGCTAAGCCTCACAATGGGCAAGCAATAATTTGCATAGTGGTATTCCTCTTCACTTGTAAGTAAGAGATTTTAGATCTGATTCTCGCCAAAGGCGAATTTCAATCACATTATTGCTAGCTCATTGTGAGGCTAAGCTCACTGACTCCTCCTTAATTAAGATAATATCGTTTGTTAAAAAAAAAAAATCTTTTTTTTTTTAATTTTCCATATTTTATGCTCTTTCAATTTTAATATTAAAATCCACATAAGCATCCATGTTATTTATTGATATATAAAAACCGTTGGATGTTATAAAATTTAAAGACTATAGAGAAGTGTAAAAATATGTGTCCCTTGAGAGGAAAATTTGTGTAGGGCTTGGTTTGTCACTGAATTTTGCTTAGTGATGCTACAACGTAATCAAAACTCGTCATGTGGTAAGTTTTAAATATAATATTTATCATTCTTCTATTTAAAATTTTTCATAATCATCTTTTTTGTAAATTAATATACACCATAAGATTGATCTAAGAGTTCATATTTTTTCCTCCCCTCCTTTTAATTTTCCCTCCCTCCCTGCCGTTGCAGTCTTCTTCCCCACACGTTTTTCTCGTTTCTTCATAAGAATAGGGGTGGAAAAAATTCCCGAAAATCCCAAACCGAACCGAAAAAATCCCGATCCCAAACCAAAAATTTCCCAAACCGAAATTCCCGAAATTTTCGGGATGCTATCCCGAACCAATCCCAAAATTTCGGTATGGGATTCGGGATTGGCTTCTCGATATTTCGGGAATCCCATACCAAACCGAAAATATATAGTATTAATTATTATATATATTTATACATATATATATATATTATTCTTTTATAATTGATGCTAGTAGTTTCTAATTCATGCTCAGCAACCTAGAATGCCCTTCACCTTGCATATTTTTCATGTTCTGTTTGATATTCATGTGGATTTTATTATTGCTGCTGCAATGGCTGATGATTTCAGAAGGCTTGATTCTTTTGTCTCTCAACATATTGCAAAAAGAGTTTAATTAATTTGAATTTTGACTATGATAAAAAGAGTCAAGCATGCCAGTGTTCAATTAAATGGTAGTGTGAATGAAATGAAATTCCTAGTTCATAAATGTGTTCTTGAATTATATATTTGAAAAACAATTCATAATTTCATATTTCAATTTGGGATTCCCGATTCCCGAAATTTGGGATTCCCGAAAATTTGGTTTGGGATTGGTCTTCAAATTCCCGCCCCGAAAAATTTCGGTTTGGGATTCGGGATACTAGTTTCGGTATGGTATCCTATACCGAACCACCCCTACATAAGAATATGGAAAAAGCCAATCTTCTCCAACTATCATGAAATAAAAACAAAAAAACAAAAAAAAACAAAAAAAAAAAAATCCAATTTCAAAAACATAGTTAAAATCATCTCAATCCTCAATCGAATCTTGATTGAGAAAATTCACCCATGATCTAAATTCTGGGCTACTCTACTGCTCATCAAGGTAGAAGAAGAAAAAGCAAAACAAAAATTACAGATTATTTAATGTATATTTTTGTGATATTCAATTTTGTTGTTAGTCGAATGGAATTCATATTTATTGATAAAGTATTAGAATTGCATAGGCCCTTTAATAAAAGGGATCGCTATTTTTTTTTTCAAAAAAAAGCACCCACTACTGTTAGATTTGACTTTAATAAAATTATATGGTTAAGATTAAATTATAAACCACAGAATGTCAACCACAGAATTTCATTAAAGCCAAATATGAGATCCCACATTGACCAACGGAGAGAGGGATGATGTGCCTTATATGTACGTGTTCCCCTATAGCACGAGGCATTTTAGGAACTCAATGGTTTCGAGTTCCATCGGAACTCCGAAATTAAGCAAGTTCGGGCTAGAGCAATCCTAGGAGGGTGACCTACTGGAAAGTTCTCGTGTGAGTTCTCAGAAACAAAACCGTGAGGGAATGGTAAGCCTAAAACGGACAATATCGTGCTACGGCAGAGCCGAGACTGGGATGTGACAGAATGGTATCAGAGTCACTCTGCCTTTTGGTACGAAGGTGCCGGTGAGGATGCCGGGTTCCCCTTAAGTGGGAAGGATTATGAGATCCCACATCGACCAACAGAGAGTGGGTGATGTGGCTTATATGTACATGCTCTCCTCCCTATAACACAAGACCTTTTGGGAACTCACTGACTTTGGGTTTCATCAGAACTCTGAAGTTAAGCGAATTCGAGCGAGAGCAATCCTAGGATAGGTGATCCACTGAGAAGTTCTCGTGTGATTTCTCATAGGATAGGTGATCCACTAAGAAGTTCTCGTGTGATTTCTCAGAAACAAAACTATGAGGGAAATGTAAGCCTAAAACGGACCATATCGTGCTACGGCGAAGCCGAAACTAGGATATGACACCAAATCTAACGGTCAAGAGGGTGTCCCTATTTTTTTTGAAAAATGGGGATCCCTCTTATTAAAGGTTCCTAGAATTGTAAATGTTATTGTTTACATTTGTATTCGTTTAAAGAAAGGCATGCACAACCGTTCATATTTGCTGCATTTTGCTGAACACTAGTGGTGCATTTATGTAACCATAATGAAAATAGGAGGAATTAAATTGAGGGAGAATTGAATTGAGGATGAGTTGGAATGGGAAGAAGTTAGAATCAGATTCTTGTTGAAGTTGTTTACTTAAATGTTCTGGAATCGGAATAAAAATGGCACTAATTCCATGAAACTATTTACTAATTCAACAGAATCGGAATATAAACAATTATGATTACTAAAATGCCCTTGTCCCAAATCAAATATTTTATATATTTTTATAGTAAAATTTGATATAATATATAATAGTAAGAAAAAGTTAAATTGTTTTTTATTTATTTCATAGATACACGTAAATGCTTTTGTTTTCGTTTTATTTATTTATAAATTTAAATATTTACTTTAATATTTAAATTTTCTCACTCAAATTGTAGTTTCTTCTCTTCGACATGTGCATGGAATTGTGTATAATGTGAATGAGGACATAATAGGAAGAAAAAATGCATTCCTAATTCCCTCACCCTCCTGGAATTCAAATATCTCATCTATACAGGGAATTCCACTCCTCCAATTTCAGGAATTGCATTCATTGTTTTGGGTGGGGTCCAATACACTATTGATTCCCCAGTATCTAGTAAACACTGGAGTAATCTGTAATCGGAATTTAATTCCCATTTTTTTATTTCCATTACCCTTACGTAAACGTGCTCTAGAAGAACTTTTCCATAGGATTTAAGTTCTATATTTTATATTTTGATTTCATTTTAGTAATTTTCTTCTATAATGTACCACGGGAATGATTTTGAGGACTACGCAGAGCTCTAATTAAACTTTTTATCTCCTGCGGGAATCGGCTTAACAGTGGGTTATGGTTCCTCATGATGCATATGAATTAGTAGCAGATAATTTCTAATTAAAAAATTATTATTTTTGTCATGTGGTGTGCCACGTTAGCAGCCACGTCAGCACTTAACGAATCAATGGATGAAAAATGTAACAGATGTATTATTTTTAAATAAAATAGTACTTAAGGTATGAAATTGAAATGTTTTAAAGATATTGTAAGGAATTGAAATATACCCTAAACATAAGGTATAAAAGTGTAATTTATCCTAAAAAATTCGGATCGTATCGGAATAAAATTCGATCCACCGACCTATTCTACTAAATGAATTTTTTTTAGTTTACTAATTTTCTAAACATGGGCTGTTTTGGAGTTTGGAAAAATATAACCGTGGGACACAAAAAAATAGACATGACCCATTGACCCATCCAAACCGGGCCTAACCGACCCGCCATCAACTGGCAACTTAAAACCCTAGAACAAAGAACGACGAACCTCTTTAGCTGCTCGTTGGGATTTCTGCTGTCGCTGAGAGCAAAGGGCAGAGAGCTAACCAGAAGCCGCCCGCTTCCTATCCTTCACCATGCCTAAGTCTAAGCGCGATCGACAAGGTCTGCCGTCTCTCTCCTTTCTGTTTGGTTGCCGAGAAAACTTGCAGAAAACCAAGAAATTCCATTCTTTTTATTTAAATTTTCACATATATATATGTATATATGTATATATATGTTCTGAACTTTCAGGTGAAATCTCTGTAAAACAGATTGTTTTTCATGAGTTAAGAGATTGCTTTCTATTGTTATACGTATAATTTATTGTGGGTTTGAATTGTTGAATTTTGTTTATATTTTCTTGAATATTATGTTTGTGTGTTTCAAATTGGAAACTAAAATTATATGGTTTGAATTTTGTTTCATATTATTTTCCTTTGTTAAATGTTTGTTGTGAGATGCTAACAGAAATTTAAATATGTAGAAAATGAAGTTCATATTTTTGAAATGAGATGCATATGAAGGAAGTTTTTTTTTTTTTTTTTTTTTCTTGTACATATCGCAAGCGTTGAGCTTGGTCTTATGGATTGGAGAATTGTATGAATAATGTTATGGTCCGTTTTGTGATTTATTGAGTTTATGGTTGCAGTTACATTATCCAAGACAAAGAAGAAGGGAAGGGAACATAAAGAAACAATAGTAAATACGATTCGGCAGGCTGCGGAAGATTACAGTTCTGCTTATGTGTTCTCTTTTGAGAATATGCGGAATCATAAATTCAAGGAGTTCAGAGAGCAGCTTAAATCAAACAGCAGGCAAGTTCATTTTCAAGGTGCTCCATTTGTGTTAGTGGTAACTGGTAACTCAGTATGTATGCTGTGAAAGTTAGAGAAAAGCATCGGTATCTATAGTTTGTTTTGCAATTTAAGCTATAAGAGAGGAGAGACTTTACAGATAAAAATTGAGAAGAGAAATGCAACTTTTTATTGTGTTTTGATTGGTTGGCCTAGGAAGAAATTAGTTGTATTTTTTCCATGTGTGGGGTATTCCGTAATCTTGAACGATGCAAGACTTTCAAAATCTTTTTCTCGTCTCTCAACTTTCAAAGAAAATTAAAATGTGGGCCAAAAAAATTTGATGCTTCTTGTGGCTTTGGGGATGGAAACTTTTTAAAGGCATGAGAAAGCATCTTTTACAAAACCCTGCCTGCCTTTTCAAAATCAAAATTTAAAGCCTTGAAACGATTTAAGATCACTTTCCTGTGGACAACTAATCACAATTAAAAGCGAGTTGTTGCCCAGGAATTGATCTTAACCTATAAAAGATGAGCTTTGAGAGGTAAATCCTGTATTGGAGTAAACTAACTGTGCCCCAAATATGGTAATTTCAATTTGTACATGTAAATATGTAATTATTTTGTGGAAAGATAAGTTTCTTAGTCATGGATTCTACAATTTGAGCATGTGTATCATAAGGGATTTCATTGTTGTTTTTAGGTTTTTCCTTGGCTCAAACAAAGTCATGCAAATTGCCTTAGGTCGGTCTGAATCCGATGAGATTAGAATGGGCCTCCACAAAATCTCTAAGGTACTCCTTTTATGCACCCAAGATTTCTACTGTCTTTTTTTAGTTGAAACTGTCTTACACCTTTTGTTTATTTTTATTAGGTTCTACATGGAGATGCTGGTCTATGTTTTACCAATTTGCCCAAGGAAGAGGTTGAAAGGTAAAAGTTCACATTTTCTCATGTTTACAAGCTCGGGAAATGTGTGGAATTTTGGATTATCTACTTGTATAGAAGATGGCTGATATGAAGCTTTATAACTCAGTTCATAGAACTTCAAAATATGTGAGTCTATGATGGTCAATTCTGTGAGATTGATGCCTGCTGTGATTTTACGGATTACAAAACACATCCATCTTTATCGACATTACAAATACTCTATTAATGCACCGGACCCCTGGAAAAATAGTTGAAATAAAAAGAATATAACACAGTTTGAAGGAAGAAACATAAGTTTGTTGGTAGTTAATATATTCAAGTGTATAAAACCAAGGCCACCCAGAAGAATGGTTAATTGAATCTTTCTGGTGCAGAGCTTTGATGCTTACATTATTTTGCCACATATAATTAATTGTTCTAATCTTGTAGGGTACCTTGAGAATTGTATCGAAAATTGTGCTCATTTCCTTTTTAAGTTTCAAAGTTTGAAAATATCCTTTCTTCCAAGTACATTATACTTGTTTTATTTTTTACGTTTTCAAAATCCTCATTCTTTTTCCAGGTTATTCAATGAATATGAGGAATATGACTTTGCAAGGACAGGAAGCATTTCGACAGAAAAGGTTCTTGAGATTTTTTTTTATGTGTTGTTAGTGAGGTTAATAGTTGTTCTTTCTTTTTTTTTTTTTGGACAAACAATACTGGTAGTGGGTTAAATTGTTAGTTGTTAGGGGGGAGGGGGTTTGGTGGGGATCAAACCCATACTAGGGTGCATAGCCATGATTGCTTTCTGACACCGCAGTAAAGCGCCATCTGCATATCATGAGGTTTTAGTTGAAACACTAGACTTATCTTCTGGGGGTTATATTTTTGGGTTTAGTTGTTAGCTTTCAACTATCCTACCATTAACTCATGAATTTTCTTTCAAATGTATTAGGTGGCGCTCAAGGAGGGTCCCTTGGAGCAATTCAGTCATGAGATGGAGCCCTTCCTTAGAAAACAAGGGATGCCTGTTCGATTAAACAAAGGTATCTATTTTCTTTTTTGTTTTGCTAGTCTCTGTGCATGTAAGAGAAGACAATGTAAACCGTTTGAGTCTACTATTCATACTTGCAGGTGTCATAGAGCTTGTTTCAGACTTCCTTGTCTGTGATGAAGGAAAGCCCTTGTCACCTGAGTCAGCTAGGATACTGGTTCATTTCATGCTCGTATTTTTATTTAGTTTGTATTTCATGTCCATGAAATGTTGTTTTTTTGTCCCTTTCCAGTCCCAACAAGTTTTTATGCAAATTAGTAATGATAATAATACGTGTGACCTAATGTACCTATTTGTATGCAGCGTTTGCTGGGAACCAAGATGGCTAGCTTCCGACTTCACTTGATTTGCAGATGGAGCCCCGGTGATTTTGAGCAATATGCTCCAGGACCAGACGATTCAGGTGTCGAATCCTCGTAAATGCTGATATGAGATCCATAGGCATTTGAATACAACACTAATGTGACGATTTATGTGGAATTATTATGTGTTTGTACTACTAAGGAATACAATGGCACTTGTAGAACCTCGGGCCATTTTTGAGTTTGTTTTGGTTTGTGGCCGTAGTCTGTAACCTATGCACTTTTAAATTTTAATCCATATGTTTTGACCTGCTGCTGCATGCTCTGGTTTTGCAGTAGACCACTTAGCATTTATAAGAAATATTGCCATTTCTGCAAAATCCCAAATTACGGTTTCCTAGTTATTACAAGTGATCAGAAATAAGAGCCCTCTCAGAATACTACTCTCCTTCGACTCTACCACGCTATAGTTTAACATTAATTCTTGTGCTAGCTTTAGACATTGTGTCAAAAACATGAGATGGTAGGGTACATGAATAGTCTTAGTTTTGAGTCTCCTTGGCATTTCTCCCGAAATAATGTTCCTTGAAGGTTGTCAATTAGTATTACGGTCTAGTAGTATTCTTCTTCACTGATGAAAGGTCTTAGGTTCGATTCTCGTTAAGGGTGAATTTGAATCACATTATTGCTAGCCCATTGTGAGCTTTAGCTCACTCTCACATCCTCTTAGCGTCAATATCATTGTTTGTTAAAAAAAAATGTTCCTTGAAGGTCTTGGCCCTCAAAAGGTGGAGCCGTCTGCTTTTAGGCTTACGTTTTTGGAGGAGAATATGTAACTTGGAGTGATTCTAGGCCTTCCACATTAGTTCGGAAATAGTAAGTGTGATAGCAATATATTAGACTCATGAGTATGACAGTTATAATATAAATATTAGACTCATGAGTGTGACAGTTATAATATAAATGAGCACGGTACCGCTATTTTTGTGTTATATTTCTAATGAATAATCAACTCACTTTTTTTAAAAGTCAGCGGGTCGCTTTTTGAATTTAAATTGACTACCTAGATTTTATGAGCTGCTGAAGATCAATGGTCCATCTTCTTCCAACAGCTACTTTTATTAAACTCACTAGTGTAATTTTAACTCATGTAGCTTGATTAGATATATAAGTATCACACTCACTTGAACCACTGTAGAAGACCTTAGGATTTTCATTTGATGGTTTTATACAATGGCAAATCCAGAGATTTACCCTTGAGGGGAATTTTTCAATTTTTTCATTAAAGCATTTAGTCGAACACGTGGTGAAAATGTCGTTATGTTCCTAGTTTTATCAACAGCTTCGAAAGCCTAATGTCAAGCATTACCTGCCAAGGCATGTTGAGCATCACTTGCCAAGGCCTGCTGCTTGCTTTAGCATTTGTAAACCTTAGTTCTTGACTCAAACATTGCTTATGAAGAGAATGAAGTTGCATAATCTTTCATATAATTTTCAATCCCGCAACAACGAGCAAGCATAAATTTCTAGTGTTTTTACTAAATAAGGGTAATGACTATTGCCTAGAGGTTGATCGATGCAAGGGAGCGAACACACATTGTACACGTGCAGGGCTTCGATTTGGACCAGTAGGTTCATTCCAAATAATGTGTATGAAGAGATGAACCTCTTTCTAAAATCAGCATTCATGTCTTCATGAGTGAAAAACATAAACTGAAAACGAAACGTGGTCTATTGGTTCTAACACAAACCCTTGTTCACAGTGCGGCCGCCTCAGCGTTCTTTTTATCCTCCAAAAGCTTTAGCTCCTTACGCCAACCTTCCAGTTTCGTCAACTTCTCCAACTGTTCTGACTTGATATCTTGCTGATTAGTTTTCTGCTGTTGAGCTTCTGCAAGTCGAATCTGCAACGGTGAACCATACGGTAAGAGAAAACGTACTGCATATGTTTTCAAATCATGGTCTATATCATTTAAAGGCAAGGCCGATGAGTTAATAAACTATACCTTCTTTTTAAGAGCTCGAATTCTTTTATCTATGTCTTGAGCTGGACCCGCTGGATTCGAATCCTCTGTTGAATCAGAGGGAGGGGTAACTAAAGGACTAGAAGAAACACCTAGCTCGTTCATCTGTGTTGCCAATGACTCGACATATTCTGATACATGACCTAAATTTTCAACTTCTTCCTTAGTTTCCCCACTTTCCGAGGTTTTCTCCTTTTCAAGAGCAGCCTGCAGAACACAGATAAAGGAAGGGAGTCAAGCAGCTTGAATGAAACTAGTAACTTTGCAAAAATAAACTGGAATTTCAAATTACAGATAAACATCGGTTCCAAAAAATTGTAATTTCACATAACAGTAATGACAGCAATGCCTGAGTTCAGAAAATTAAAACCATTGCTATATTGAAAATCTCTTGCTCAACTTAAAAGCAAAGCTATGTCTAAAATCAAGAATCCCCATATTTGTGCTTTGTATATCTTCTGCCTTGTTAGCAAACAAGAATAAACACATCTATTACTTCATAAATAAGCTATTCCAACACATGGATAAACCTCAACATCAACACAATGATGAAAAAGGGATTAATACCTATTATTTTTGCTCCTTTACAACATCGTTACATCATAATTTCTGCCTTGGAAGGCGATATCGTAATGTCAATAAGTTGAGAATGTGAGATGGCAATGTATAACATTTAACTTTGAGCAGCACAAGTGGATCTAGAATGGGAGCAATCAATCACGCAGTCACCTGATCAAACTTTCAAAACTTTTACGCCTCAACATTTCAAGTTTATGAAAATTATTTCAATTCAATTTGTTTCACGATCACTGGGTCACTCAGTATTACAGGATCAAGTGACTTTCCTTTCAGCTCATGCTATCCATTTCAGTCTCTAGTTAATGGAAGACAAATGTTTGGGTTGTGGGCTAGATACTAATGAGTTCTTGGTTAGTGGATTAATAGATACCTACATGAAATGTAGAATTTTACAGGATGCCAATTATGTTTTTAGGAACATTATTCATAAAGAGTCGATCAAAGGAAATACAGTGACATGGGATGTGTAGATCTCAGTCTCTGTCCCTAATGTGTTTACCATGTGCCGTGGGGTTGTTCCTAGAGACGTTGGCACCTTGGTTGTTACCATATACTTCCACAATGGTGGCAGCTATAGTTTTATGCTTGTAGCTATTTAATTTAGCATTTGGAAAACAACTGCGTGAATTCACTTTTAGCATTCAATTAAACACTGATGTAAGCACCGAAACAGCTCCTATGGACATAGATTGAATATGGTGATGGCAAAGCTGGTCTTGAAAGCTTGGGAAGGTTTATAGATCAAAACATGGTTTACGGTGGACTGCTGTTGTCATCTCAACCTAGATGTCCTCATGAGGAACTGAATCCATTTATAACTATTTATTAGAACACTGCTTTGTATATTCTGTCACAATCTTGTCTGTTCTGGGCCTCTTTGTGCTGAGCAGTTAAGCCTGAAGGCATGAAAATCCAGGTCCAGTAGTAAAAGTGGGAGAGAATCCTAGCAGTCAAATCCATTATGATACACAAGAACAAACCAAGGGGATCTCTCGCTCTCATCGTTAGCTCTAAAACCCCTAAAAAGCTGACTTCACTGCCACTTAATAAATCCTACAACCAGTTTAAACAATATCAGCACCCTCTTTGCCTCTAATCCTGTTTTATTCACACCCCACATATGCTACAAATTCTAAACTCCTCTCTCTCGTGGCCAGCACCACTGTAACCCTTACTTTCCTAAAGCTTGCATCAATAACCTAGGTAGTTAATGTTCATATACTGATGCAATGAAACCCTCGTTAAAAATCATTAGTAATACAAATAGAAGCACTCCTCAAAAAATCACATCGATTGCATTTAAAAGGAAGAAGCATAACCTTCAACCATAAATCTTTTGAACAAAATAAAAACAGAAACAAAATAAAAGGAAGAAAAATACGTAGTGGGAAAAATCTATTGAAAATATAAGTAAAAGACTTTCCTAATTGTTGGAGTAAAAGTACCAGAAAGTCCCCCAAGCTGTCCAATTGAAGAAATAGAAAAAACTCCATCATTTCAAAACTTCTATATAGGATGTTAACATGCATGGCCTTCCTTGTGCATCCTTCGCAGAGCTATTAAGAATAGCTTGGCAGAAGAACGCAATTCATAATTGTTTACCTATTCACGTTGGTTTCACAAGAGAGAAGGAACAAAGTTTAGCCCCACAAGCACCAAATGAAAAGAAATTGCAGAGCCGGTGAATCTCCTTTGCACATTTATACAAACACCAATCAAGAACCAGATCCAACTTTAAGATCTTTCTCAAATGACAGAAAATGGCACACGGGGGAGGTACGTAGGTGCACCAAATTGCATTCCCAGGAGAAGAGCACAGACACCTTGACAAAGCCGTATAAAAGAATTCAACCCTCTAAATCAATTATCCTTTAATCGTGTTCGAACAGTGGACAATGTCCTCTTAGGAAGTGTTTCGTTTCCAATGACATGCTACTTGTAAGACTAGTCTAAGAGAGCATCCGTTCATCCATAAGGCATTACACTTCAGATGCTTAGCCTTGGTTTTTGTCATTGCGAAACTTGTATCAGTTCTTCAAATGTTGGCAAACTCATTAAAGGGTAGATAGCTAAGAAATGTGAAGAGAATAAAATGTTGTCTTTGCTTTTGTTTGTAATTCAAAATAGCTCCCAAGTTACAAAAAAAGTTCAGGCTTTTGGGCAAAGCTTGACAGCAAAACTATGATATCAAACCCCTCCTAATGAGTAGATTTTCGAACTTTGCACCAGAAAATCGAACAAAGGAAATTCGCTAAAACCTACTCTACAAAATCGATTTAGCAACAAAGTACAATGATCAACAAACAAAACAAACCGAAGAGCAGTAAATAAGTTTTATGCAATGGCAGCTCAATAAAAGACATACCTGTATCCGCTTCTCCTTTTTTCTTTCGTTCCTCTTTACAGACTTAGTCTTGGGTTTCGCTGTATCAACGGAAGCAACATCATAACCCGGAGGTCCAGCCGCTGAGGCCATCTCCTTTTTCCACTGCATTACAAAAATGAAAACCCCACCCTGAGCTTCCATTCAAAACCCAACTTCACTAAATTCAAACAACTAACTTGTAACATTCCCAACTTCCACAAATAATCAAACCGAAACGAAATAAAACGCTGGTTTATCAAAAGATTCAAACTTCTCACCTTGTCTATGATTTCTACTAAGCAGCCAAACATTGCAACTTAGAGTTTTGTGGGCAAAAGGAATAAGGGTTTAAAGAGGGAGAATGATATCATACCAAAGCACCTTTGGATTGGTAAATGGCGACTTCCTCTTGGGGAACATATCCAGCCCGAATGCGGATGGGTTTACGGAGCGTACCGTCGGGTCGTCGGGTTGGCGCCAGAAGCCTCTCCCCTTCTTTTAGGGTTTTGCTAAGCTCCGCCAATTTCTCCAGCGGCTGACCTTCTTCTCCTCCGCTTCCATTGTTGCTGCTTGCCATGCTGATTCACAACACAAACAATCCAGTGATCAGATATGATGGGTTGGGCTTGTTTTCCTTTTTCCACAGAGAGAGAGAGAGCAGCTGATACTTTAAGCTTAGGTGGCTACTTCGCAGGTTTCTCTCCAACTAGGTTTTAGTGGGTCTACCATATTGGTTGGATTTTACACATTAAAAATTTTATTTTTTGGCAAAATTTTTTTAAAACTTGAATTGGCATAGTTCTTCATTTTGATATTTAAGATTTGAAATCGATAAAGTAATCCTTGAGTTTATTTACCATCAATTATTATAATCATTCCGTGAAAAAAAATCTATTAAATAAGGATCAAAATGACCAAAATAACCTCAATTTGATTATAAAAAAAAAGGAGTTTTAACGAAAAGCATGTGGTACTGTTCACTTTTACGAAAAACCATATTTTTACACTAAAAAGTCAAACCTGGTACTATTCATTTTACCTTTTATTTTATTATTATCGTTAAAACTCAAAGTTTTCAAACTTTTTTCATTAGTTTTCCTTTTAAAAAAAAGGTCAAAATGATTTGACAAAAATTATGGGTATTTTTGTCATTTTATCTTTATTTAATGGAAAATTTTCACGAAATAACCAAAATGATTGATGGTAGACAAACTCAATGACCACTTCTATCAATTTCAAATCTCATGATCAAAATGAAGAATTATACTAATCTTATAGATCATTTTGACTTTTTAGCAAAATTTAACTGTCCGTTTAATAAGTGGGTTATGTTGACTTGAAGTATTATTATTTCAACCAAAATTAACTCACTGAAGGACAATAATTCTTTAAAATGTAATGTATATTATGTACATCTATACATAAAATTTAGTAACTTTTACATACATTTATATACCAATTCGTGATCTGAATAGTGAAATTTATGTAAGAGTAACTCCATCGTTGGAGCCCTCCCCCCAAGCTATGCACTATTCAATCCACCTTATGAATAGTAATTGCCCGTAATGAACAGTAATAGCCCTGGCAATAGCATTTACATCTCCACCGTTACACTTCAATAGCCCTGGCAATAGGCAATAAAATATTAGTATTTTTTTTATTTATAAAATAATACAAACTAATTTTAATTATAATATCGGATAAGATTTTTAATCGTTCTCGTTGCGCCACGTGCCATTATCCAAATTATTATTAAAAAATACAAAATAATTTTATTTGTAATTTCGGATAAGATTTTTAATCGTTGTCGTTGCGCCACTTGTCACAACCCGTCCCGGAATTTTAATTCCGAGGACGTGAAGTTATGAAAATGCCCTTAAACGGGACTAAGGGGCGTAAAATATGTTGTAACTTGATGATTTGGGGATTGGGTAGGATCCCACATCCCTCAAATCCCTCCCCCATTTCTGTAACTTGTCTCTCTCTCTCCTCCCTCACAAATCTCTCTTTCTCTCAGTTCTCTCTCTCTCCTTCGAACTCACGCAGACCACCCTCAAAACCACCCTAAAACTATACCAACGAAGGATCTAAGACCACCATCGTACTCCTGAGGACCACACGATCACGATGGTACCAATTTCAGGTGAGTTTCACTTCGGAAAACATGGATTTCAATTTCACTGTGCGTGTGCACTGTTCATGCACCCGTAAAACTTGATGTTTTCTGGGATTTTGAAGCTTGTAGAAAGCTTGGTGAGGTCCTAAGGAAGCTCGGAGTGCTTCGTTTGAAGGATTTGGACGTCGGGATCACGAACCGTAAGTTTGGCCGAATTTTTCATATTTTTGGAAAAGTTTGATTCTGTTGTTTTTAGGCCCTAAAACTAGTCCAACGTGGTAGATTATGATTAGGGCTTCATTTTGGTATAGATTACGTGAAAAATGGACGTAAGAACGCGGAGAACAACAAGCTCAAAGTTTGGCCGGAGCTTTCGAGGCTTTTTCCAGCGAATCCACGGCGAGTTAGGGGTCAAGGAAGGTATGGATGTGTTCGTCTCGTCAATACCTTCATTTTGATATAAAGAACGTCGAAAATGGTTAAGAAATGAAGAAGTTATGACACTTTGAAATTTACCCAGAAATTCCGGCAAAACACCAACTCCGGCGAAACCAGTCTGGCGACGCGAGGAAGAAGACGCGCGCGTGGGCAGCGCATAGACGGGGCGCGTGGGGGCGCGTGAGAGCTCCAAATTGAATTCTGAAAATTGTCACGTGTTCGTGACGTCGTGTAGATCACTGTGGTATATTCACACACCCAAATCGAGTAACGTATGAGAAAGTTATTGACGAATGTTTGGTGTATGCGCGTTAAATAACGATAATTTGGTTACTTTTTGTATAGGTGAAAATTATACAGAAGAAGAATGTAACCAACCTAGGGGAGGCTCAGGGACCCACGAGACGTCGATGTGATCAGTGAGTGGGCAGTTATTTTTCAGTATATATATATATATATATATATATATATATATATATATATACGTATGCTTGACGTATTTACCAGAAAACGTATTTTAAAAGAAATACGAATTAAATATCCTGTCATATATGCATCATGTTTTAATATGTGCATTACCATAATTATGCATACTGTTGCATGGTGCTGAGGAGGCCCAGGTAAGCTACATTTGGTATACATCTGATATACGTATGAAATACATTTGGAATACGATTGAATTACGATGGAAATACATATATACCTATATACGTTTATATTTCCAGAAATTGGTTAGAAAATGTTATTTGTTTCATGCCATGCACCATATGTTTGTCGTTTATGCATCATCACATGTATTAGTAGTGGCATACATATATATATGCGTATTGGGTGATGTGGACGCACAGGTAAGTGCCAGGTAAGTGGTATTCATGTTTGTATTCAGTAGTAGCTTGAGATGCTTAGAGAGCTCATAATCTGCACCCCGATGTTAGTGCTCCCGCCCGTGGCCAGGGCATAGCCTTCACGTGATGTTCACCTCCCGCACCACACGCTCAGCTTGGATCCAAGTTAGGTGCACAGCCTGTCGTACAGACCACATTAGGTGGTTCCGACTCGTAGGTGACCTGCGATTTATCGCATAGCTTCACGTGATCGTAGCACTAGAGCGTATATATATTTTACACCAAGCCTGTCGTACAGACCACGTTAGGTGGTTCCGACTCGTGTGCAGATTCAGTTATTGAGTTGAGATTGGAGCTCTATATGCAGCCGTACAGGTCACGTTAGGTGACTCCCGGCTGCCAGATTATATGTTATTGATATGAGTTATGCTTGAGCACTTACATTTCATTATGAGTTTCCGACATGGCATATTCTTGAGCATGAATGATATACCCTTGAGCATGTTTGGCATATCTATACATACGTATATATGTTTATTTTCTGGGAAGTATACTTGTTTTACGGCGAGGGGTTAGTATATTCAAAGAGAAAAGAAGGTTTTGAATAAGTTTGTTTTACTGACCCACTCAACTTTGTTTTGCGCCCCTCCAGGTTTAAGATATCAGAGCTTGGTGGTTACGAGGAATCCAACGGTGTTCTGACAGAATGGACAAAAATTAGGACTCACTTTTGGGTGTTTCATCTTAGAAATTGTATCTTTAAAGCTTCCGTACTGTGTAAATGGTTACGTCACTCTCACGTGACGGCCAGCATGCCCTCCTTCGGGACGGGGTGTGTCACCACTTGTCATAAAATCCGAAAAGATAATTATTGGGATGGATTTCCCATAAATTTTTTAATCGTATTCGTTATGTCACGTGTCATTATCCGAAAATACAATTATTGGTGATGGATTTCTAATAAGATTATTAACCAAACTTGTGCTTGAAGTTCCTACACAATGCAGGAGAAGAAATAATTATAATGAAAATAAGTAACAAATAAATAATACAAGCAACATAATTATAATGTAAGTAGGTAACAAATAAATAATATAAACAATAAATAATAAATTATGTAGGTAACAAATAAATAATACAAACAAATAATTATAACGTAAGTACGTAACAAATAAATAATACAAACAAATAATTATAATGTAAGTACGTAACAAATAAATAATACAAACAAATAATTATAATGTAAATTTGGGTATCAAATAAATAATATATTGTTACCTGATCCGAGTAATTTTCCCCACTTCGAATATTACTACTAGCTTGTGCCAAGGCGTCTCTCCACGTACTAAACGATTGGCTAAGTAATTTCCAACGACTAGACATCGATTCTTTGGTTCTTTTCCCATCAATTTTCTCAAGACAATTGGTATGAATAAGACTCCACATTTCTCGCAACTGCATCTCATTAACTGTAAGCGAACTATAAGTAACTTCAGCCCAGCTAGTACACAACGCAACATCTTCAAGAAGCGATCAATTCGTACCTGCACCAGTGGTCATTTTGTTGAAAAAAAATGGATTGAAACTTTGAGACAAAGAAAGGAATAGTTGAGAAAATATGAAATTGTTGTGTAAGGTAGATGATAATGAGAAGGTATTTATAGAAAAGTAAAAACAATTTTTTTAAAAAAAAATTTCAGATTTTTTTTTGAATTTTTTACAATTTTTTACATTTTTTTTAAAATTTTTTATTCAACTAATTAATCTTTGCCGTTAGATATAAAAAAATTTGAATTCCAACACTCCAGATTGTGCCACGTGTCACAACATTAACTTTTCTTAATTTTAAAACTATTTTTTCTTTTTTTATTTATTTATTTATAAAGCATATTAATATCCACCGTTGATCTCAGATCGAACAGTGAATATTAAATAAGATTTTTTTTTTTTTACTGTTGAGATCGAACGGTCCAAATTAAAGATTCGTTGAGATCGAACGGACCGTGGGAAGTCACGTGGCTTCCCAACGGTAACTGAAAAAGCAGTTTTTTTTTCTTCTGATTTTGTGTTGGCGACGCGCCCCCACGCGCGAGTGGAGTGCACGCGCTTGACAGAAAAAAAATTAAAAAAGGCCTGACGCCAGGCTGATGTCAGCGCTGGCGTCACAGGGCCTCAGGCTCTTGGGCTGGCAATTCTCCACGGGCTTGGAGCTCAGGCCTCCACCTCCACTCGGGCTCTCCAACGCTAGAGCCGATCCACAAGGCCTCGGGCCCCTTTTCTCTCCCCCGTCCCCCGA